ACAATTCGTTGTTTGAATCCTTAGTAACAAAATTTATGCCTTTCACTTTGATTTTACCTTTTATGGTAATTCGTATACTGCATACGAGCTATTAGCCTTGAAACTGGAATTTTTTAATAGTGTCCCAAATTCTTGAAGATTATGATGTCATGGGTGAGTTGTGTACAGTTTTAATCAGTGGGAGGCCCTGTTAGGGTTTTAGAATTATGGATTAGTAGGAGTTTTTAGAGAAGGGCTACGGATTATTGGCCAGTAAATTTAAGGATCAAGAACCTCAAAAACCCTACCGTACCCAATCCCGCCGCACATACCATATAAGGGAGTACCCCCGGTCCTCGCCTTCGAGCCAAATAGCACGTCTTCATTGTAGTCGTTACCACGATTTTGAGCAATTCGGTGGTATAAAGAGTGAATCTTCATTTCTTGTGAGGTTTTGCTCAGGGATACGCTTTCAAGCAAAACTGCACGTTTTCAACTCTATATAACATCAGGAGCCCTCCTGATAACATTTAGTAGCCGTAACTACGTTTTGGAGCGATTCGGGCGTGCGATCCGAAAATCTTCATTTCATGTGAGGTTTTGCTGAGGAAAACGATTTCGAGCCAAATAGCGCGTTTTTTAACAACTCTTAACAACTTATAGTACCCGTAGCGAGGTAATAGAACGTTTTGGAGGTTTTTAACAATCCAAATAGACATTTCTTGTGAGGTATTGCTGAAAGGATAGCTATCGAGCCAAATAGCGTGTTTTCAACTGTCTCTACAACTTATAGTAGTCGTGATTGAGGTTTGGAGCAATTGGGACCTCTTGACCCATAATCGACATTTCATGTGCCGAGGTATTGCTCAAAGACGCGCTTTCGAGCCAAGTAGCTTGTTTTCAACTTTCTACAACTTATAGTAGCCGTGACGGTGGTTTGGAGTGCTTTAATAAGTCAAAATCGACATTTCATGTCATGTATTGCTCAAGGACGCGCTTTTGGGCCAAAGAGCGTGGTTTCCACTCCCTACAATTTATAGTAGCCCTAACAATGGTTTGAAGTGATGAAGAGGTTTTAAGCCAAAATCAACTTTTCATATGAGGTATCATACGATCTCAATCAGCCTCGGTTGAATGGCTTCGAGAAGCGATCAGCCGCCCGGGTCTCCGCATCAACAAACTTTCATCAGTGTCGGCTCAAAGATGCTCTTTCGAGCCAAATAACGTGTTTTTAACTCTCGACAACTTACGGTAGCCGTGACAATAGTTTGAAGTTGGGTATAACATCGCTAATCTCAGGGCCTAGGGGGGATCCTTGTCCGCAGCGGTAGCGGCAGCGGCAGCAGCCGGAGCTGAAAGCTTGCCACGGTTGTAGGATCGGGAAAAAACTGTTTGGGCTTGGTAAGAAAAAAGATTTGGGATTCAACAAAACCGGTTTCGGAATGCTAAAAAAAATCAGTTTAGGTTGCGTAAAAAGACCAAACCACTTTTGTTTACAACTCCGAAACCAGTTCATCAAAACCCTAAAACAATTTTTTTTTCACGAATGTAAGAACCAAACAAACAAACCCATTTTTTTCCAACAACGAAACCGGTTGTCGATCCCCCGACCCCGTTTTTTCTAATTCCTGAACCGATTTTTCCGACATCAAAAGCGGCTTTTTTACGAAACCAAAACCCGTTTGATTCGAAGCCAAAAACCGTTTTTATGACCCTAAGAACAATTTTTGTCGATCCCAAAACTGTTTTTCCGACCCAAGCATAAAACGGGGTTGTTAAACTGATAAAGAAGTTTTAGAGAAAAAAAAAACGCAAGACTGCTACAGGGTGCCCGCATAATATGGGTAACAAATAGTGTCTGTATGCAAAATGGTTTGATTTGAAAACAGGCCGCTCAGTAGAGCGTTATGTACAGGTTCGACAGTACGTTCCCCAAATCTGACCGACATACACCGTATTCACAAAAAGCGGCCCTCCTGGGGCGAGCGAGCAGTCAAACGCGAAAACGAGGCGTTGTAGGATTAACTAATTAGTTTTTGACTAATGTATTCTTTAACACTAAAAATATAACAAACAAAAATTTAAAATAAGTTTCGACCTAGCATAAACAGTATAAACATCCAAGCGCCCGTTCGATCGCTGGAATAATTCAAGTGCTTACCACTTAACAAGTTGAGCTTTTGTCCGCAGTCCTTTCGCTGAATCGTTTCTGCATTTGAGTCAAAAACGTAACCCTTCAGTATTTAGCTCTGCTGGGTTTCTGCCAGCTAGAGATGAGCCAGGAATATCATCCTCACAAAGCAAAACAGATATATTAACCCACTCACTTCTCCGATCATCTGTAATTTGTATCCTACAACGCCTCGTTTTCGCGTTTGACCGCTCGCTCGCCCCAGGAGGGCCGGCTTTTGTGAATACGTTGTATTGTTTATATAACGACAAAACACATGAGAAACAATGGCGATTATTCGATGTTTGATTTGTCAATGAATGATCTTATTACACATCAAGATACATGCACACCAATTAAACACTAATTAAAGATTTTGTAGGGAATATGCATTCCTAAAACCAAATTTACAGAACATGTAAAGGAAGTATCTATGCAAAACGGTTAATCTTAAAGAAACCAAAACAAAATAAAACAAAATGCTCCACCCCAAAAGAAAAAGAAAACGCCAATTAGAATTGTGCCCAGAGGAAATGGACCTATGACCTTCCAAAAACTGGTCAGAAGATTTCCCACAGAGCCTACAGCAAACTCCTAAACTGAAAGCTTAAGAAATATGGTATGCATGGACAATTCCACAAAATGGTTTTAATCAAACTTGGCGTCCACTGCCAAGTATCAAGATGTACCTTTTCCTGCTCTTTTCAATAAAGATCCTTTCAGCTGGGATTGAGTTGGGATACATTTCTACGTTAAAAACTCCATCTCCATTGACGTATTCTCGTAAGAACACCATAGACGTATACATTGGGAAATACAGACATCACATTGAGTAACTTACGCATGGTCAATGTCACTCCTAGTCAAGCGTCTTTGCTTGACTTGTCATTACCCTGCATTCTCGTCCCCAGTGCAACTCGTTTTAAACTGTCGTTACGAAGCTCTGGGAACGAGAATGATAGCCGTAAACAATTACGAGACACGTGTCAATGAAAATATTCCTACACGTACATGGTCATGTACAGTTCGCACAAAAAAGAACTTGCTAACGAACAATTAAAATTTTTTCATGTAAACCTCTGTATTTTCTCCTAAACAGTTATATTATCTTATTTGTTTCGCGCCTTTCACGTTACAACACGTGAACATTGTACGAGAACCAAGAAACGAGATTTTCAATAAGAAGAAGTATTAGTATCTAAAAAGGCAACTACCAATTATGAAAGACCATTGGAAATGAAATTTCCTTATATCTTTCTCTACAATAAAAAATGTCTATTAAAAAACAACTGAAAAGTGCTAAAACTGAAGTAAGTTTCATTGGCAATCTCCAGGTATACATTCTTTAGCTCCAGACATCAACTGAATATCTTCCTTTGGCACTGAGTTTCTTGACGTAATCTGTGGCTTCATTCTCAGAGAGGCCGCCATTTTTCTTGACGATGGACACCAGTAGGGTATGTGCGTCACGTGCCATGTTGCGAGCGTCACTAAAATAAACAAGTTTGTTGGTCAGACTGTTGTAACCACCACAATAGCTTTCAGCAATCATAAATTCAAGGTATTGGCGTTGTCAAGAAGTTCTCGGTAGTATACGTTTCAATAACACTGGCAATATGTTGTTGCACGAAAGTTCTGAAGGATACTAACACCAGGCCAATCTCGATATGTTAGACTGCAAGCAGTCTCTCTTTTGCTCGAAATTCCGTGGGGAAGAACAAAACAAAAGAACGCAACACAAGTCAGCGGTAAAGAGCGTGACATGCAAAGCCAAGAGCCGCAAGTAGCGCAGGTGCCAGAAGAGGAGCGACTCGCGGTTGAAGGCTTCGCCGCTCGGATGTCACGCTCGCAGTCACGGTCGCACCCTTGCTAGTTTTGCGTTCTTCCTCACGGGATTTCGAGCAAAAGACAGACTGCTCGCAGTCTACGATATATCAAAATTCTAACTTAACTTCGAAGCTTAGGAAAATAAAACAATAGAAATCGCATCGAGGGATGAATAATTTTAAAATACCTTTTGTTTTATTTTTGCCCCGGAGCCAAGCTAGAATTTTAATACAAAGAAATTGGCTTATTTCGCTACATTAATGTATGACCAAATAATGGTAAAAAAAAAAAAACTAAAACAAATAAATAAATAAATAAATAAATAAACAAATAAGAAACGAAATTTGCTAATTAATAATCATTATTTTTTCCTCCAGCTTATCAGCTGTCCGAAATCCTAAATCCTTGAATCTGATTGGTTAATCGCGCGCAATTCACCGGTAAGGATTTCCCTATCTGGACCCCGAGTGCGGACCGCTCCAAAATTTCCAACTTTAGCAACTTTTCAAGCTTTTTGTTACACAGTAAAACAACGTAAAATGTAAACATTCAAAACAGAGTCAAAGAATTACGCAAACAGCTTTTTCTGCCAGAAATGTCAAACGCACGCGTGCGCCAGGTTTGAACTGAACGGCTTTGAAAGCAATAACTTAGAGAAAACATAAGCACGCAAGGCGGGAGTTATTTTATTGTGAATTAAAAGCCTCTGGATGTAGCAGCATTCAGTCGCATTCAGTACACTCTCAACAGTTGTGATTAGGTTAATCTAACAAGCCTTTTTGGTTACGATGTACAGCAAAAAAATTCGTTTCACCTTGAGACGTGTAATATCAAGCCTAATTTTTACAAGGTTAGAATTTGACAATTCGATCAGTAGCTTTATTTTTACGAATTTCAATGGAACCGCTTGCAACAAGCACAGTTTCACTTCGACGTAAACAAAAATGTTAACTGCAAGACTTGGCACAAATCACGATTGAACATCGGAGAAACAATCCTATTTACTTCAATTTTTAAGTCCTCGATCTGTCCAACACGAGGAGACGAATGTGACTGCAATCAAAGAAAAGCTTCTTACCCGCAAACATAAATGTGGCCTCCGCTATCCAATACATTCCAGATGGACTGCTCATTCTCTGCCATGAGATTGGTCACATAGATCTTCTCTTTCTAAAGAAAAGAAAAAGAAAAAGTAAAAAAAAAGAGAGAAAGAAAGAAGAACAAAGAAGAAGAAGGAAGACGAAAGAAGAAAGAAGAAGAAAAAGAAAAAGAAATTCTCAAACATGAACAATGCTCAAGAAAGCAATTTCAAAAAGTGCTACCCTCACTAAAATGTTGAGAGAGCTGTAGTCTTCCTAAATGGTTTTGATTGAGAAACAAATAAGAAAGAAAGCTGTGCAATAACGTCTAGTAGATCTCTAGAGTCTCAAAATCTCTAGAATCCCAATAATATCTTACTTGGTCTCTTGAAAAAGCAACATGCAACTGTTGAATGGTACCATCTTGTGAATATGACAGCAGTTCATCCTCATAAATGTAGTCCTCGCTCTTCTTGCGACAACCAAAAAACAAAATCATCTCACCGACAGCTTTGCCTAAAAGGAAAGGAGCGCCACTTTAAAAATAAGTCCAGAGTAGGTACACGTATGACTTACATTTTATACTTGTCATTGGGATAAAACTGAATTATCCTGAAAAAAAATGAAAGAGACTAAGATTTTCAGGTTAAATAAGTGCTAAGAAATGGCCTGTAATATATTCGCTGATTTTGTGAATATTTGAAACTTATTGCTTCAGCTTATGACTAAAAAGATTAATCGCTCTTGATAAATGTATCCCAAACCAAACTTGAATTTTCTTCAACATTTGTCAGCAAAGCAGGAAAACCTGCACAAGATACCGAATCATTGAAAACCTGCAAAACAATGCCATTAAAATGTAGCCAATTAGTTAGTTGGGGAACTCTTGCCATTTTGTTGGTGCTAGCTGATGAGGTAAGATTTTTCTTGTAACTGGAGTGTAGATATCTATCACTCAGTAAAAAGTCAGTCAGTCCGTCTGTGCATCGGTCTGTCAATCAGTCAGTCAGTCAGTCCCTCCATCCGTCTGCCCATCCATTTATCCATCAGTCAGTCAGTCAGTCAACAATTAATCAATCAATCAATTTTAATTTCAATTTTCATTTTTAACTTTAATGTTTAATTTTCAATCAATCAAGTTTAACTTCATTTTCACGATAAGTTGCAGGTTAACACATATTCACAATAGCTGTAAATTGAGTGGGCCCATGCACAAATTGTATTGGAAAATTTGCAAAAACTTAATAGTAATAGTAATTAGACCGAGTGGAGTACAGTTCAAGGAGTAATCGTGTGAGTAATTTTAAAATCGGACAAGCGTGAAGCGTGAGGCTGATTTGAAATTATGAGCACGATTACTTCCTGAATTGTACTCCACTTGGTCCATTTACTAATTAATCGTATCTATAACAAATTTCGGAATTAGTAATTAGAACTTCGAGTGAAAAACGTTGTAGTGCTTTTCAAAAGTTTTAAAAACTGTGGGAAACATTGAGAAGGAAGCCATTAAAGCATGCATAATTGACATGCGAATCACGTGGGTATCCAATTACAGGGTTCCAATTTCAAAAAGTTCAAAGTGGATACCTTTAATTGGACACCTACGTGATCATGCGCCGATTACGGGACAACTATGATAGACAATTTTGTTATAGATACGATTATAATTGTAATACCTTAATTACGTTATTAGGGTATTAGGGTATTAGGGTTTTGGGGTATTGGGGTACTGGGGTATTGGGGTATTAGGGTATTAGGGTATTGGGGTTTTAGGGTATAAGGGTATTAGGGTTTTATGTTATTAGGGTATTAGGGTGTTAGAGTGTTAGGGTATTAGGGTGTTAGGGTATTGGGGTATTAGGGCGTTAGGGTATTAGGGTATTGGTGTTTTGGGGTATTAGGGTATTAGGGTATTAGGGTATTGGGGAATTTCTCTTATACCCTAATATCCAAATACATCAATACCCCAATACCCAAATACCCTAACAGTCTATTATCCTAATACCCTAATACCCTAACGCTTTAACACCCTACTATCTTAAGACCCTAACACCCAACGCCCTAGCACCTGAATACCCTAATACCCATACACCCTAACTCCCTAATATCCTTATACCCTAAAACCCAAATATCCTAACACTATTATACCCTGATACCCTAATACCGGTACCCCAATACTTGAATACCATAATACCGTAATACCCTAATACCCTTATGCCCTAATACCCTATTACCCTAATACCCTAACAGGCTAATACCTTAACACCCTAATACCCTAATACTTTAAGACCATAACACCCTAATACCATAACAGCTTAACACCCTAGCACCCTAACCCCCTAACACCCTAATCCCCTAATCCCCTAATCCCCTAATACACTAATAAACTAATATCCTAATACCCTAATAACCTAATACCCAAATACAGTAATACTCCAATACCTGTGTACTCTAATAACCTTATACACCAATAACCTAATACCCCAATACCCTAGTACCTCTTAAACTGCAAACATCTCAGATGCCGACGTTTAGGGTGGCTAGTACACAGGAAACAGAGGAGTCCTATTTGACCCTTTTTCCAGTTAAATTTGCCATACAATAGTAGAGGGAATTGAGTTTTTTGTTGATTCAAATGACCTCAAAATCAAACTGTACACATGCAATCGTACCGTGGTGATTAAATCTACTATAAATAGACATATAAAGCTTTTTGCATCAGGGTGGCTAGTATGCAGGGAACAGAGGAGTCCTATTTGAGGTTTTTTTTCAGTTAAATTCACCTTACAATATTGTAGTGTGAATCGATTTTTTGTTGATTGAAACGACCTCAAAATCAAACTGTGCACATGCGATCGTGTTGTGATGATTGAATCTACTACAAATAGATATATAAAGCTTTTCGTGAGAGCTGTTGTGTGACTTTGTGATACGATAGCTCATCAACTTGTTTGAGTATCAAAGTGTATCAGCTTGAACAAAGCCAAAAATTTTTGTCTATGGGCAAAATTTTAATGCTTGGATTGCATTTCAATTCGTGAAGTTCTCTCTAGTTCTCTTCGCTCCTGCTATGTGGGGTTCGTCTTCCAATGCGATTTCTGTGAGTTTGTCCTCAAAGACTGAGCAGGATTTTCTTGCAGTGGATTCCATGCCCACGGGTGAAACTTATAATCTGGCGTAATCATGAGCCTTTTGGAGGCTCGCGAGACCACAGTGTTCTTTATTAGAGACTTATTCGACAAATGCTATGGTGGCCTCAACGAAACTGTTCCATTTGATTTCTGAAATTTAATTCCAGGAGCTCAACCCTCCAGTAGTAGTACAACCAATATGTAGAGAGGATTGCCTCTTGTCAATTTTTACTAAACTTCAAACTTCGGAGCAGAAATTTAAAATAGCAGCTTCGAACAACTTCACCTCTGTCATCTAAAACGTTCCCAATACATATTACAAAAGCCAACATTTGGTGTTATTTAGAATTAACTGTTAATTAAAGATTAGAATTTATTGGACTAGAAATGTTTAATGAACTATACCCAAAAAGCAAACAAAGCAAGTTTCCATTTTTAGTGCAACAATCGCAGCTAGACCTAGTAATGTAAAATGATACACGTGCCTGCAATAATACAGTGATTTCGGGAGCTTTATCTACTGGTCAATGGAATTACTCCAAAAAGCTTGCAGATGATGGAAGGACGTCATTTGCATAATCTGCACGACCACTAAAACCCTTTATAGTTCACCACTAAATTTTCTCAGATTTTTATTGGTTTAAATTGATCATGCGAGGCGATATTTAGTGTTCATCCACAGAGAGACACTATCAGCCCATGGTGCCCGTCCGAGGAAAATACCCAGATCGATAGTACTCATCCGTGAAAATATTTCTGTAAACAAGCGTGCTTATGGAAAATAAACAATTGAAATTGTATTAAGAGGATTTTTGTCTGTTTTCTTTTTCAAATTTTAAATTTGGCTTTTGCGGCTTTCATCCAGAAAAGTTGAAAATAATTCAATATGATTTTTGAACTGATGCAAGGAAGAAAATTTAGTGGTTAACAATAAAGACAATAGAGTGTTTATGTCTCAAAACTATCGGTCTGATACCGGTAGTTGCCCCTTGGAAATTTGATGTTTTTAAAACTAGCATATTTGCCCTTGAAGCTTCACTTCTTGGGCAAATATTTGTTTTAAGAACATCAAATTTCCAAGGAGCAACTATCAGCCAATAGTTCCTCGACAGAAACACTCTATTGTTTAAATAGATTGCTTACGGGTTAAAAAAGAGAATGTTTAAGTTGCTTTGGCCTCATATAATATTTAACTTGAGAATTCTGCTTTTAATTGCCGGCTGTTGGCACGAAATCAGAAGCTTGGAAGTACAAAATGTTTCCTAATTTTCACTTTTTATAGTCTGGTATGATATTTGGAATTCTAAATTCTTTTTTGTGAACATTTGATGCCGTCTCCGGTGAGAAACGTTGCCCAACTTCAATGCTTTTCTTGTTAACATGGGGGTAATACCCTTTCCCCCTTTGAATATTGGAAAATGGTATAATGCAAACTTGTGTTAGATGAAAGCTTTTTGTCAACATTGCACAAGAGTGGGGAGCAGCAAAATGCCCATAAAATGACATTTACCAACCGTTGTGACCCAAGTTCTAGTTCTTGCTACCCAAAAATTACGCTCATGCTTACCATTTTTCTAGAGCATGGTATAAGACAGTGAGTAAACAACAGCCTTCATTTGGTGCCCAAATAGAACCATCCTTTTATTAAAGAATGTTATATTGTCTTGGGCAAACCAGGAAAATCATCACATCGGAACAACAGATGCGACTAATGTAACACCTGCCGGTTTTCCCTACTGATACACCATCCTTAGGTAAATTTTAAAATGCATAGATTTAAGTTGGAGAAGTTTTATTTCTTTTTGTTTTTTTACACGAATGTTATATTGCCTCAACAGTTTTGGCCATGTGCCATGATTCCAGTGTCTCTCC